ATGAGACTTAGTGATGTCTTGGGCTTTGAAAATATAATCCGGCAGCTGCCAATACTCTGAAGATGGGAAAAGTTGCTACTTTTATGTTTCTTCATTAACAGTGATTTCTTCTATCATCATCTGATATATAGCAGGCAGGACTTCTGCTTTAGTATGGTTAAGGGGAAAAAAAAAAAGGCAAGATGAATCACAGAATCATGAATGATACAAGTCCTGAATCAAACAACCTTTATATAGTGCTCAACTCAGGGAAAACACCAACTGATTTCAGAAAGAGCTTTGCTCGCTTAAAAGCTGCGAAGGATGTTAGGATTTAGCACACAGATAAGACATAGATGATACTCACTAATCCTTTCCTTGTGTTTCAGAAGAACTCTTATTCCTATGCTCTCCTCTCCCTTTGGAGGCTACCTTCTAGGGATGGCACCTTTCTCAAATGTTCCACAGTGTTGAAGTGGAAAAATGAACCCTGAAGTATGATACTTTGTGGCGACCAGCTCGACTAGAACATCATAAAGGACTGGTGTACTGCAGTGGAATAGCATGCCTGCTGACTGAGAGACAAGAAAATACTGCAAGGCTTTTGTTCTTAGGGAAGGACTTCTACACTATGGTAAACCCCAGGAAAAAAAAAAAAAAAAAAACAACGAGGGGGAAGAAGAGTCACCAGTACTGTGCAAGGAAGATTGTAAAGCACAGAGTGGACAAGGGCCTAGATGTATAGACTGGTTATAGAGGTACCTGAACTTTAGAAAACCTCTCCAGATTAATCCCAACCTCTAGATCAATTAGCATTAACATACTCTTAAATTCAAGATTAAAATCCTTATTATTGTTATTAATGCTCTTTGATCTATTTTCTTTAAAATTAAAGAGAAAAAACTGAATCTTTGGAGGAGCTAGGAAGTAATTTCAGTCATAATTATGAACATTTTTAAACAAAACTTATTTTTAGAACATGCAAATGTTACCTGTAATACAAATTTATCTTTAATACAAGGTTTCTCGGACTTTTGTCCCCACTGGGCTACTAAATTCATTGCTCCTTCTTCAAACATCTTTCAGTAAAGGAAAAAGCAACACCTTTTACCTGTTTTGAAAGATGTGCCTGATGCTAACTATAAACGTATCTTGAAAATATTATTTGAGGCAAACCACTCACGTTCAAGAGAATTAAGAAACATTGGTCATCTGTGTTTCAAACAGCTCCATTTAGCTGTGGTCAGATCTTTGGAGTTTAATATAAGGAGCAGACACAGATGAAAAGCAAAACAAAATGAAAATACAGTTTTGAATTACTTTTGGGGAAGCCTCATATTGGGGAGGAGATTGGAAACATCCAGGTTAACAGCTTTAAAAGAATAGCACTTATTTTAAAAAAACAGCGTTTCTAATGTGTCATGTCTGTTTCAATTAAAAAGCTTAATGATATTTTTCTCAGATAAATTACAGAATATTATTTTTCTAAGTACAATTGCTTTGTTCCAGAATACGATAAAATGAGTAAGAGAGAAGGTTTGAAAGAAGACACAATATCTGTTATTAGACCACTGATTTAGCCTTACAGCCTTGCTCCTCTTCTTATTTGATCAGCAGTCTGAAAAGCTCTGGGAAGATCTGTAGACTGTATCTAAGCAGACTGCACAAGTTAATTAAGAAAAACAAGCTTATGGTCATTAGGCTTGTATTTGATACTGGTGGGTCCATCTCTTCACTGGAAAATATTAGAATCTGTAAATCAAAAAAAAAAGGTTGAAAACCTATGCCTGTAGGCACATCAGGACTACAGCCATACTATAGTAAAGGCATAGTTAGTTAAAAAAAAAAAAAAAAAAAAGAGAAGATGAATGTGAAGCTAAAGCTACTGTAACATGTTTAGCTTTGGATACCTGAACATACTCAGTAACAGCAAAACTCTTGACTAAACATATTTCCTCTTAGATCAGATGCTAAGTTTTACTTTAACAGTGTTGTTTGAATTTAACTCTGAACTTGCTAAAAAATAAAAACAGCTGAAGTGGAATTTAAATTAATTCCTAGCCAACAAAGCATTTAAGAAAATGCTTAAATCCCACTAGATTGTATAGGAGTCGATGCTTTAGTGAACAGAGATGCCTGCCTC